TTCCTGCTCTCACTTTTATTATTTTCTTCATTCTTTGGGCTCGATTTGCTCTTCCTTTTCTAGATTCTTGAGATGGAAGCTTACCTTGCTGATTTTATTTTTTAAATTAATCAATTATTTTTTGGTCATGCCACACGTGGCTTGCGAGATCTTAGTTCCTCAACCAGGGATTGAACCCGGGCCCAAGCAGTGAAAGTGCCAAGTCCTAACCACTGGACCACCAGGGAATTACTGGAAGCTCACCTTGCTGATTTTAGATCTTTATTTAATACATATATAATGTTTACTTCTAAGCACTGTTTTAGCTGCATCCCTTACATTTTGATGTGCCGTGTTTGCATTTTTGTTCCAGTTAAGATCTTTTCTAATTTCCCTTGTGTTCCTTCTCTGGCCCATGGGTTGCTTAGAAGTGTTGTTTCATTTCCAAATATTTGGGGATCTCTCAGAGGTCTTTCTGTTGTTGGTATGGAGTTTAATTCCTCTCTTTGGAGAACATGCTTTGACTGCTTTCAGTGCCTCTGAGTATATTTGTTTGGCCTTGCATGTGGTCTGTCCTGGAGAATGTGCCATTGCGCCTAAGAACGTGCATTCTGCCGTCGTTGGGCTGAGGGTTCCGTAAAGGTCGCTTGGCAACATTGTTCAGTCTTCTGTATTCTTGCAGATTTTGTCTGGCTGTTCTGTCAGTTGTGGAGAGTGAGGCAACAGAACCTCCAACGATAATTGTTGGATTGTCTCTTTCTCCTTTAACAGTCAGTTTCTGCTTCGTGGAGTTTGGGACTCTGTTGTGTATTCATTTGTACTGCTACCTGTCCCCATGTACTGACCCTCTGTTCACATGAAACGTCCATTGTTCAGTAATATTCCTCATCTTCACGTCTGTCTTTTTTTTTTTTTTTCCCCACGTCTGTCTTGTCTGATATCTGTGTAGCCACTCCAGCTCTCTGGTGGTTTCCGAATGCAAGGTATGTCTTTCCCCATCTTTCTCCTTTCATTCCCTTTGTGTGTTTGAACGTAAAACTTCTGAGCCCGTGACATCCATCTGTCCCATCTCTGGTGACGTGAGCCTTGGTCATGGGGTAGATTTCTCCACTGGATGTCACCACCGTCCCCTTGTAAATCACCCTTCCCGAGGGATACTTTGGGACTGTACAGACATCCCATTTCCCCTCCTGCTTTGCCCGCTGGTGTATGGTGGCTCCTGCTGGAAAGAGTTATTTACTCTAGCATCTGCCATATGGTGATTTCCTATTTCCGTAACTCCCTCTGCATTTGTTAACTGGGGTTCTAAAAGGAAGAGCTGTCCCTTCTCCCTTACTCATCCATTCCTTCAGTTATATATTTATTTCATCACGGACTCATGGATATTGATTTTATCCTAGGGGTCATCATCCGACGCGAACATTATTTTGTTGTTCGTATCGTCCCAGATTTGGCTCCTGTGTCCGTTCAACATTTCCCTGTCATGTTGGAGCGTGTTTTTACTTTCTGGCTCCACAGGATACTCCAAGCTCATCTTGTCCTTCCCCTGCCCCAGCCCTGCAGTCAGCCATTTCTCCAAGGAGCTCTGGTTCTTTTTAGTGGAAAATGGTATTTAGAAACCAAAACTTGGGTGCTGGGTGTGCCCGCTGCTGCTGGGGTGTTGTTGTTTAGAGACCTTTTTAGCAGGTAGAGCAAGGAAATGTACCAACACACACATATCTCTGTTTATTTCTGTCTCTCCACCCATCTGTCCATCTGTCCATCCATCCACCATCTATCTACCTGTCTAAAAGCCACGAGATCATCTTGATCACTCTGATTTCGGTTCAGCCCTCCAGAATTTATTCCAGCCCCCACCCCTTATCTATAACTGTTTTCTCCCACGATGAGGACCCTGGCTCTCATTCTGCACACGTCTACTTGGTAGCACAAACCTAGATATGTAGAGTGGTTTCAGAGCTGCTAACCCTCTCCTGTGAAAAATACTTTTACTAAGTAAAGCAGAGTATTTGTATGCAGTTCTTTTGGCCTTTAACCTGTTTCCCAAACCTACTTAACTGGTCTTTTCTTCCCTGCCCCTTCAGGATAGTATGTCATTCTTTTTTTTTTTTTAATTTTTAAATTGTGGTAAAATACACATACCGTAAAGTTGACCGTCTTTACCCTTTTTAAGCGCACAGTTCAGTGGCATTAAGCACATTCACATTGTTTGCAATGATCCCCACCATCCGTCTCCATAACTTTCTCATCTTCCCAAACTGAAACTCTGTCCCCATGAAACACTGACTCCCCCTCCCGCAGCCCCTGGCCCCACCATCTGCTTCCTGTCTCTGTGGATCTGACTCCCCCAGGGACCTCCTGTGAGTGGAATCAGACAGTGTGTGTCCTTCTGTGTCTGGCTCCTCTCACTGAGCATCACGTCCCCAAGGTCCATCCACGCTGTAACATGTGTCGGAATTTCCTCCTTCTTAAGGTAACTAATACTCCTTGTATGTATGTGGAGGGACCACATTGTGTTCATCCATCATCTGTCCATTGATATTGGGTTGCCTCCACCTTTGGCTGTCTATGAATCGTGTCTCTGTGAGCACTTGTGCACAGGTTTTACGTGGACGAGTGTGTTCGTTTCTCTCGGGTATGCAACTTAGGAGTGGAACTGCCGGGTCAGACGGTAACTCCACGTTGAACCCTCCGATGAATCACTGGCCTGTCATCCACCGCTGCTGCACACTTTATGTCCGCACCCGCCCTGCACGAGGGCTCTGATTTCTCCACATCTGCAGCAACTCTTGTCATTGTCCGGATTTTTTATCCTAGCTGGCGTTTCCTAGTGGGGGTGAGATGGTGTCTCATCGTGGTTTTGACTTACCATGTTCATCGTCAGGTTTTTGAGGATGGGTGGATAATGGATGGATAAGACTCCTGGCGGGAGGCCAGCGAGGGGCCGGCGGGTGAGGCTGTGGGTGGAGGAGCCTTGGAGATGTTCAGACCGCCTTCGACCCAGTGGCCTTGCCAGCCCTGGGGTTTGTCGCCACGTCCGCCAAGGGCACTGAGGGTGCATACAGCCTGGCATCCGGGGCTCTGCGCTGACACACAGGCCCAGATGGGCCGCCTCTTACTTCCTGCCAGTGAATCGTTGGGGAAAGTTTTCCCCGCGGGAGATCAAGATGCTTTGTTTAATCTAGAAAGAAAGGAGGAACAGGAAGACACTTCATTTATGGAGAGTGTGCGTGGGGAAGTGCAGTGAGGCTCCAGGGGCCCAGCTGCGGTGGTGAATGAGCGGGGCTCCGAGGACGCGGTGGGGCAGAACAGGGCATGAGCGACCTGGGGCGGCTGAAACAAAGCACCACCGATGGATGGGCAAAGCTGCACAGATTTGTCCTCTCTCAGTTCCGGAATCCAGAAGCCCAAGATCAGGGTACTGCAGGGCCGCGCTCCCTCCAGAGGCTCCCGGGGAGGGTCCTTCCTACCTCCTCCGGCTTCTGGGGCTCCAGGCGTCCTGGGCTTGTGGCCGCGGCGCTCCAGGCTCTGCCTCCGGCAATACGTGCGTGGCCTCTCCCTGTGTGTCTGGGTCCACATTTCCCTTTTATAAATCATTGGATTAGGGCCAGCGCGGATTTGGGTGGCCTCATCTTAATAAATGGCATCTGCAAAGACCCTGTTTCCAAACAGGGTACCATCCTGACGTTCCAGATGGACATGACTTTGGAGACACTTCACCCCACTACACTCACACTCGGTTTCCCACCTGGCCCCCATCTCTGGTCTGGCCTTTGGGGTGCCGTAGAGCCCCGGGCCAGACTGGGGACCAGACAAGGGCCTGGCGGGGCCGGGAGCACCAGTCCACGACGGAGGAGTGGGTGGGAGGTGGGGGGGCGGTTCTTTTTGCGGAGAGTAGGGGGCTGCCCGGGTGGGGCTCGCTGGGAGCCGTGGGAACGGGAACATCCCCCCGGCACTGGGCAGAGGCCGGGAATCGGGCTGTGGCTGCCGACTCCAGCGGTTCTGCAAGGGGGTGGCCTCTCAGAGCCCTGCGTGTGTCACCGTGGGGACCCCAGGAGGGGCTGCGACGTGGGGCCTTGCAGACCCACAGGACAGGGGCTCTGTGGGGCCGCCCCAGGGTAGGCTGTCGTGGGGCGGGCCCTGGGGACCGCGGGTGCACAGCACAGTGGGCGCATGACGCCAGGCAGAACCTGCAGGCCCCCATGGCCACCCACGTCTGGATGCTCCCTTAGCCTCCACGTCCTTCCCCACGGACTCAGCCCGATTCAGGTGACCCCGCCAGGCCTTTCCTGACTGCGCCCTCACAGCCCTGCGTTCTCCTTCCTGCCCCACTGTCAGGCTGTCCATGCCGTGGACCCGTGGCTGCCTTCCTCCAACACGGCCAGGGTCTCAGTGCCCACAGCCCCAGCACGGGGGCCGTGTGTGTAGAGCGAGGAGGGAGTGATGAAGGAGGGGGTGAATGAGGGAGGCAGGGAGTGGTTGAGTGAGTCACTGAATGAATGAAAGGATGGAGTGAATGATGAATGAATGAGGGAGTGAACGAATGAATGAATCAGTGGGTGAGCCAATCAGTGAGTGAAGGAATGAGTGAGTGAATGACGGAGGGAGGGAGTGGTTGAGTAAATGAGTGATTGGGTGAATCCGTGAGTGAATGAGCGAATGAGTGAGTGAATGAATGACGGAGGGAGGGAATGACGGAGGGAGGGAGTGAATGAGTTGCGTGGGGAGGGCATGAGCTCTCTGCCATAAGCCATTCAGCCCCTGGGGAGACGATTTCGCTTCTCTGGCCTCTGTTGCCACCGATCCACACGCACTGCCTTCTCAGTCCTCAGGGCCTTCCTAACGGAGGCATCCAGGGCAGGATGCTCTGGGCACAGCATCTGCTGCAGGTGCTGACTGGGGTGTCACTGCTGCGGGGACACTCGCCTTCCACATCCCGCGGCCCAGACAGCTCCCCGGGCTCGGGTGGTGGGGACCGGTGGGCCTCGCGAAGGGTAACCGGGTCTTCTCTGACACACCAGGTTCGTGCTGGCCGTGGGCAGTGCCGTCTTTGACGCCATGTTCAACGGGGGAATGGCCACCACGTCCACCGAGATCGAGCTGCCAGACGTGGAGCCCGCTGCCTTCCTGGCACTGCTCAAGTAAGACTTTCCAGGTCCTTCACGCCCTGGGGGGAGGGACAGACACACCTGATGTTTAAAAAAAATAGAGCCCTGGTGACATTGCCTCCAGAGCCCCCAGCTCCCTGGAGATTTCTAGAACTCACCTCCTCAGTGAGGGGTGGGCTCTGGACGCCCCCCCATTTTCATTTTTGTACTTTTAATATCAAGATGTAATTTGCATACCATACAACTCACCCGTGTGAAGTGTACAATTCAATGACATTTAGTATGTTTACAGAGTGTGCAACCATCACCTCTAATTCCAGAACATTCCATCACCCCCAAAGGAATGGCATCCCCCTCCCCCAGCCCCTGACAACCAGGAACCCACTCCCTGTCTCTGTGGATCTGCCTGTTCTGGACGTTTCCCATCAATGGAATCACACCCTGTGTGTCCTTCTGCGTCTGCTGCTCTCACTGAGCATCGCGGTTCCAGGTCCACCCACGCTGCAGTGTGTGTGAGTCCCTAAGTTTTCATCCTTTCAAGAGTTTTTGAAGAAACAGCCTCATGCAAGAATTTTAAATTCCACCTATATTTTTTCTTCCTGGGTTTCAAATTTTTTCTCAAGGACTTTAAAACAAATATAGTGGATGTTGGGGGTGGGAGTGCCGCCCACAGATTGCAGCTCCACCGAGAAGGAGGCCGGCGAGCTCTGTGGAACTCCCATACACCTCCCTGCTCCGCGGAGCACCGTCTTCCCCTGTCCGGAAACCCTGGGTGTAAATGGTCTGGGCGTCTTGAAAGGTTATCCCGAACAGTCAAGACAGCTCTTCAGATGTGGAGCTTATTTTTTTTTCCCCCTTCTGATTATAAAAATGGCATTGGCTCACAGAAAAAAAGGGAGCGAGAGAAAGAAAAAGGGAGGGAGAGAAGAAAAGAAGAGAAAAGAAAGCGTAAGGAAGAAAATGGAGTGAACCTGTCTCTCAGCACCATGGGGGCGGGGCCCACGGGCGGGGCGTCGCTGGTTGCTCCCATTCATATCGGGTCCCATTTATATCACGTGCTCACAGCGCCTCTCCCCACCCACTGTGTCGTCATCTCCTTTTTTCCTCTGGTGTCTGCAGGGTGTAAACTGGTTCCCTTCAGCTCCATCAGTGTTGAATCCTGTGGGCTGATCACAGCACTTTGTGGAATAATCTCACTCCTCTGTCTTTAGGCAACTTTTCAGATGGTCCCTCAGATCAGGGGCCGCAGGCTGCCCCAGGGTGGGTGGGAGGGCCGGGGCTCTGTCTCCACAGCTCCCCCCCCCCACCCCGACATTGCAAAAGCAGCCTGGAAGGATTTGTAAACTGTGGGCAGGGCTGTGGGCCAAGGAAACTTTATGTACAAAATAGGGGACAAAAGCACGGTGAGATATCACTTCACACCCACCAGGGTGGCTATTATTAAAAAACAAACAAACAAGACGACTTGTCTCGAGGAGGTGGAGAAATTGGGACCCTCATGTGCTTCTGGTGGGAATGTGAAATGAGGCAGCCACTGTGGAAACAGTCTGGACGATCCTCAAAAGCTAGACATAGAATCACTATGTGCTCCAGCAATCCCATTCCTGGGTACATCCCCCAAAGAAGGGAGAAGCGGGGGCTTGAAGAGATATTTGCACACCCGCGTTCACAGCAGCTTGATTCACAACAGCCAAAAGGTGGGAACGCCCCAAGTGTCCATGAACAGTTGAGGGATGAATGAGGTGTGATCCATCCACACACCAGAATATTACTCAGCCTTCAAAAGGACTCTGGAATTCAGTAACACATTAAAAGGATCATACACCATGATCAAATGGGATTTATTCCAGGGCTGCAAGGATTTTTCAGTATCCACAAATCAATCAGCGTGATACACCACATCAGGAGGCTGAAGAATAAAAACCATATGATCATCTCAATAGATGGCAGAAAAAGCTTTTGATGAAATTCAACACCCGTTTATGTCATAAAGGATGCTGGCAACTTCCCTGGTGGTGCAGTGGTTAAGAATCCACCTGCCAATGGAGGGGACACGGGTTCAAGCCCTGGTCCGGGAAGATCCCACGTGCCGCAGAGCAACTAAGCCCGTGTGCCACAACTACTGAGCCTGTGCTCTAGAGCCCACGAGCCGCAACTACTGAGCCCATGTGCCACAACTACAGAAGCCCACGTACCTAGAGCCCGTGCTGCACAACAAGAGAATCCACTGCAATAAGAAGCCCGTGCACTGCAACGAAGAATAGCCCCCACTGGCCGCAACTAGAGAAAGCCCACGCACAGTAATGAAGACCCAACGCAGCCAAAAATAAATTAATTAATTAATTAAAATTTAAAAAAAAGATTCTGACGCTTGCTCCAACATGGATGGACCTTGAGGACATGATGCTTAGTGAAATAAGCCAGATGAAAAAGGACAAATACAGTGTGAACCTACTCACAGGAGGTCCTAGAGGAGTCACATCCATAGAGACAGGAAGTAGAGGGTGGGGCCGGGGGCTGGGGGAGGGGGAGGGGGAGTCAGGGGACAGAGTTTCAGTTTGGGAAGATGCGAAAGTTCTGGAGATGGATGGTGGGGATGGTTGCACAGCAATATGAATGTACCCAATACTACTGATAAAAATGGTTAAAATGGTAAATTTTATGTTCTGTGTATTTTACCATAATTTAAAAAAATGTAAAAGTCATATCTATAAAAAAAAATCAAGACCCCAAACAGGTGACGGGTTGCAGTTAGCCAAACCCTGCCTTAGTCTAAGCTTGGTGAGATGTGGGGTGGAAGGCTGTTCTCTCCGTCTCCCTCTCCATCCCTGTGTCTCTCTGTCTCTATATCTGTCCCTGTCTCTCTCTCTCTCCCCGTATCAGCTTGGGTTTTGGTAACCAAGCTGCCCCCCCGAGAGGGTGGACACTATCTCCACTGGCATGTGAAGGGCTCACCCATCTCCCCGCACGTGTCTTGGCCTGTCCCATTACCAGGTCCCCCTCAGCACTGCTGACATTGGTGGTCATTCTGTCCCTGACCCCGCAGGCCGCTGCTGTTAGGGCTTCCTGTGCATTCTCAGGGGAGTGAGTCCAAGGAGAGGGGGGCACCTTCCAAGAACTTGCTCTTTGGGCGGCTCCCGGTTGGGCTTCTCCACCGCCCCCATCCCGTGTCCATGGTGCCCGTGGACGGACACTCGGGTGGTTTCGCGTGGATCGCGCTGCTGTGAACACGCGTCATTTCTCCCGGGCGCAGAGGGGTGAGCTGCGCGCCCAGGGCCGCCTCTGAGGCGCTCCCACCAGACGGACCAGGGTTCTGATTTCTCACCATCTCCCCGTGGTTTTGTAATCGACCCTGACTTCTGACCCACATGTAGAGTCGGGCCGATGGCGGGTGGTCAACACGTCTGGTCTCTGCGATTCCGGCTGGCATTTCTGGTCCCGTTAGTGGTCGGGCATGGCAGCCGGCGGTGGCCGGGTCGCGGGGTGCGGAAGCCTCTCCGCGTTCCGGGGCAAATCCCGTGCTGCCCACGGAGGAGCCGGACAGAGGCCCACCTGCTGTGTAGACTGGTTTCCAGGGTTTGCCTGTGGGCACTCCTTTTCCCGGGTAACTGCCTTTGCGGGGTCACGTCCACAGGTCAGAGGGCGACCGATGCTAACTGGGTTGGTTCCTCGGGCCAGGCCGGTGGGTGGGGGCTGGGCGGCTGTCCTCATGCCGCCGTCCGCTCCCTGCCCCCAACCCCGCTCCAGGTTTCTCTACTCGGACGAGGTTCAGATCGGGCCTGAGACGGTCATGACCACGCTGTACACGGCCAAGAAGTATGCGGTGCCCGCGCTCGAGGCCCACTGCGTGGAGTTCCTGAAGAAGAACCTGCGGGCGGACAACGCGTTCATGCTGCTGACGCAGGTACGGGGCGGGGGCGCAGGGGCGGGGCGCAGGGGGCGGGGCGCAGGGGCGGGGCGACGGCGCGGGACCGCTGGGGAGCAGGTGCTCCGGGTCTGCGCAAGGATGCAGGTGCGTAGCTGTGAGTGAGGACGCCAGGGGCAGGGGAGTACGGATGGGGGAATTTCGGAGTTTAGGCGCCGCTTAACTCTTGCGCCCAGGTGAGTATCTCCCTCACTTCATCCTGCCCTTGTCCCTGCCCCTGGTGGCACCGCGGTGTTTTCCTGGTCGCCTGTCAGCGCAGTGCACCTTGTTGGCAGGCCGGCCTCACGACAGTCATTTACTAAAGGATTCCCGTTGGCATTTTGGTGCCCTTGTGCAGAGCTCAGGTGTGGGGGGTAAGGCGTTCCGTACTAGGTTTCTTGGAGGGGGACCCTTTGGGGTTGTCTGGCCTGACGGGCTGCGGCGGTCCTGGACCGCTGTGGGGGCTGGGAGCCTGGCGGGACAGGGCAGAGCCCGAGTGTCATCGTGGCTCCACAGACCCCTCGCTGAGGTGGCACCTGGGCCTTGGCCCCGTCTGCTGAGTCGCTCTCAAGGGCCAGAGCCTGGACGGTCAGGTGGGGGCCGGCCGCTCCCGGCCATTTGCTGAGAGCTGCAGCCATGTGAGGGTGTCCTAGCCAGGCCCTAGGCAGAGACCGATGCACAGGGGTGTGGGCGTCGAGCTGCCCCACAGGTTCTCCGGCCCCCGCCCCGTGTGCGAGTTCTCGGACGGTCAGAAGCGCAGCTCTGCTGCGTCCCACAGGTCCTCTCGGCCGTCTCCCCCGGGCTCCTGCCTGCTGCAAGGGACGACTGGGCCCGCCTCCAGCCTGAACCTCTAGGTGCCCCAGCTCTTGAGGTGTAGGCCTGACCCCCGCCCCAGGCAGTGGTTACTGAGAGTCTGTGAACCTCAAGAAAGAAGATCCCTCTGGCCCCTCAGCCCAGGACTTGAAATCTGTGCCCGGGACTTGAAATCCGTGCCCAGTCTGGAGCCAGGGTCCATCTGGCTGGGTGTTGACAGGCTCTCTCCCCCGCAGGCGAGGCTTTTCGACGAACCGCAGCTCGCCAGCCTGTGCCTGGAAAACATCGACAAGAACACGGCCGACGCCATCACTGCAGAGGGCTTCACAGACATCGACCTGGGTAAGGCCACAGGGCCGGGGAGGGCTCGGTGGTCACATGCGTCCCGCCGAGGCCCTGCCACCTGCCCCACTCTGCTGCTGCCCGGGCCGTGGACAGCCTGGCCGCAAGCCGGTCAGAGGTCATCCCCGAGGCCATGGAGGCCGGCGCTCGCTGACGGCCCCACCCCTGCAGACACGCTGGTGGCCGTGCTGGAGCGGGACACGCTGGGCATCCGCGAGGTGCGCTTGTTCAACGCTGTCGTCCGCTGGTCTGAGGCCGAGTGTCAGCGGCAGCAGCTGCAGGTGACGCCTGAGAACAAGCGGAAGGTACTGGGCAAGGCATTGGCCCTCATCCGCTTCCCGCTGATGACCATCGAGGAGTTTGCTGCAGGTAACGCTCAGGAGGGGTGTGACCCCGGGGACCCTGCTGCGTGTGACTCAGTCCCATGACCCTCGGCCCGGCCACAGCGGGTCGGGTGCTGGCCGTGTCCATGCGGGAGCCTGGACTGGCTCAAGTGGGTGAAGCTGGAACGACCCCCAGATGCCGACCCTCCCGCATCCCAGCCTCTTCACCCCCATGTCTCGGGCGACCACATGCACGTGTCCGAATGTACCAGGCCCCTGAGGGTCCCACCTGGGGCTTAGGTCCTGGGAGCCGGGCTCTGGTGCCCACGTCCTTGACAAGCCCCGTGAAAAGGGTGGGCAGTGTCTGGGACTGTGGGCCGCTGCTGCCGGGCCTGGGCTTGGGCCCAGGTGGGGTTGGCCCTGACCCTGCCTCTCGCGCTGGGGGCACGCTTGGGTCTCGGGGATGTGCAGGAGCGGCAGCGGTGGCCAGCTTGGCGACCCCTCCCCTGGGCCTGGGCCTCCCCTTCATGTCATTCTCATGGCCGGTGCCGACCACGGTCCTGGAGCCAAACTGGCCTGGAAGGTTCTGGACGGGGCTCCGTGATGCAGCCCCGTGGCGGGTGCACCGCTGTCCTGCCTCTCCCTGGTCCGTGCTGCCCCTGCTCCCACCCAGGCTTAGGGTTGCCAGATTTAGCAACAAGAGCAAACAATTTTTTTCAGTGTAAGCGTGTCCCGTGCAGCAGCTGGGAGACGCTTATCCTAGAGATCAGCCCTCTTTGATCTGAAATTGAGACTTGACTGGGTGTCCTGCGTTTTATCTGGCGGTCCATGGTGTTTCCTCAGTGCTGGGGCAAAGCCCGAGAGGCTGTCTCCACACTGGGGGTCACTCATCCGTCAAATACTTAGCACCTCCTGGGTACCTGGCCTTGGCAGCACAGTGGTGACCGAGGCAGCCTGGGCACTGCGGACATGGGGCCGAGTGCTACTCTGTGGGGGGCCATCCTGGGCACTGTGGGGTGTGGAGCAGCCTCCCTGGTCCCACCCCCTTGATGCCAGGAGCACCCCTAGTCATTTTTCTTTTTTAACAGTATGAGGGCTTTATTTTTTAATGTTTATTTATTTATTTATTTTTAGCTGCGTTGGGTCTTTGTTGTTGCGCGTGGGCCTTCTCTAGTTGCAGCGAGCGGGGCTCCTCTTCCTTATGGGCACAGGCTTCTCAGTGCGGTGGCTTCTCTTGTTGTGGAGCACGGGCTCTATGCGCGTGGGCTTCAGTAGTTGTGGCTCACGGGCTTAGTTGCTCCGCGGCATGTGGGACCCTCCCGGACCGGGGCACGAACCCGTGTCCCCTGCATCGGCAGGTGGACTCAACCACTGCGCCACCAGGGAAGCCCGCACCCCTAGTCTTGATCACAGATGTCCCCAAACATTGCCCAGTGTCCCCTGGGGGGCAGGATGCCCCGGGTGAGAGCCCCCAGCTATAGTGTGGAGCTGTCCCGGCCTAAGACATCTGCATGAGCCTTGCTGGACCCCTCTCTCTCCAGCCCCGTTTGCACCCCCGAAACCACTCTCCTCATAGGCCACCTGGCTGCCAAATCATCCGGGGTCTCAGGTCTCCTAGAAGCACCATCCCCTCACCCTTGGCCCCCTCGCCACTCCTCCCATGATGGGCCTCCAGGCCAGAACAGCCCACCACCCCTCAGCTTGCAAGTGCCTGGGATGAGTGTGTGTGTGTCCAGGGGTTGTGAGCTGGGCCTCTGGCCTTGTCCCTCTGCAGCGTGGCCTGCGAGGCTTCAGCTCTTTGTCACTGTGTTGTAGAGAATTCTCCTGCCTCTTATGTTCCACTTGAAATTACAAGAATGTAGAGAGAAGTTTGGAAAAAAACTCCCCCAAAGACTCCCCTGGCTCAGTGTGTCACAAGTGAAGTCTGATGTATTTTTCTTTCTGTATTCTCTATGCAGAGATGTAAAAGAAAATGGTTAATATCTGTATTCACTTTTATTTATTCATTCATTTATTTTTGGCTGTCTTGGGTCTTTGTTGCTGCGCGTGGCCTTTCTCTAGTTGTGCTGAGCAGGGGCTACTCTTGGTTGTGGTGCGCAGGCTTCTCATTGCGGTGGCTTCTTTTGCTGCGGAGCACGGGCTCTGGGCATGCGGGCTCAGCAGGTGTGGCTCGCGGGCTCTAGAGCGCAGGCTCATCAGTAGTTGTGGCGCATGGGCTTAGTTGCTCTGCGGAATGTGGGATCTTCCCAGACCAGGGCTCGAACCTGTGTTCCCCTCATTGGCAGGCGATTCTTCCCCAGGGAAGCCCTGTGTTCACTTTTGTATCTTAACTTGCTCTTGTGATCCATGGAGATCTCTTGCCCTGTTGCTCAGACCTGTGTGCCTGTGAGCTGTTGGGGCAGTGGGCCGGGTTGTGGCTGACCTGCGCAGAAATGAGCTCAAAGCTGGTGAACGAGTGATTCTTGTAAAGCGAGGGTGGTGCCGTAAGGCCTGCGTCAGGCACCCTGTCCCGGTGCAGGTGGCGGGCAGCGGTGGGTACAATCCTTCCCCCCTGCCTGTCTGCCCCACGCGCTGCCCCCCCCCCCCGTCACCGGCTCATGGCTACATCCAGGCCCCCACCTCCAGACCCCTCTCCGACTCTGGGCCTCTCTTGGGGGCTGGCATCCCCCCCGTCTGTGTAGGTGCCCGGGGTGGACGGGCAGGGCAGCGGGTGCTCCGTGGAACAGCGGTGGGCCCCTGGGGTGGTCCCAGTGGAGGGGGGGAGGCCTGGGGCAGTGAGGGGGATTTTGCCCGATTAGCCAGCAACTCAAGAGCGTTGGTCCCATGTCTGCTTCGGATCCTTCCCCAAACGTGGCAGAAGGGCCATCCCCCCGTGGGGGTGGTTGGACTGGTGATATTCTGCAGAAGAAAGATGCTGAGGAGTTGAGAGGCTGGGTGCCATGCTTTCCAGTGTCTTCGCATGCTCGGGGTCTGCCCAGCCTTCCCTACCCGCCCCTGTGCCCTCAGGGCCCGCACAGTCGGGCATCCTGGTGGACCGTGAGGTGGTCAGCCTCTTCCTGCACTTCACCGTCAACCCCAAGCCGCGCGTGGACTTCATTGACCGTCCACGCTGCTGCCTCCGCGGGAAGGAGTGCAGCGTCAACCGCTTCCAGCAGGTGGAGAGCCGCTGGGGCTACAGCGGCACGAGCGACCGCATCAGGTAGGCATGGGCCGGGCGCAGGGCCGGGAGGCACGGGCGGCGCGGGCGGCGAACACAGTGGCGGTGGGTGGGGGGGGCTGGGGTCCTCCGTGGGGAGGGGCGGGCACTGGACGGCCGAGCTAGCTCAGCATCTCCCTCCTCTGACGGGTTCAGGTTCTCGGTCAACAAGCGCATCTTCGTGGTTGGCTTCGGGCTCTATGGCTCAATCCACGGCCCCACCGATTACCAAGTGAACATCCAGGTACCTACCGCTCGCCTCCAGGTCCTGCCCCTCCACATCCCTCCTCCCACCTCTTCCCTTCTTCGTATCCCTTCCCATCCCACCCCGTCCCTCTCAGTCGAGGGTCTGCTTGTGTTTCCCCCAAGGTGGCATGAGGGTTCTGGAGTCTATGGGACCCAGGATGATGCCTCCCCACTCCTGCCACTGGCCTGCTTCTCGCAGGTCACGGGTCGCCCCCCCCCCCCCACCGCTGCAGGGCCCGGAGGTGGGGCTCAGCCCTGGGGTCCAGGCTCCTGGGGGTCCTGTGGGTGGGCACAGGGGCGCCAGAGTTAGCTGTGCCTGGCTCCTGGCCCACAGATCATCCACACAGACAGCAACACGGTCCTAGGCCAGAACGACACAGGCTTCAGCTGTGACGGCTCCGCCAGCACCTTCCGAGTCATGTTCAAGGAGCCGGTGGAGGTGCTGCCCAATGTCAACTACACGGCCTGTGCCACGCTCAAGGTGTGCCCGACCCCAACCATGCCCCTGACGCCCCGCCCCACCCAGGACCGAGACCCCAGCCCTGATCCCTGAGCTGAACCCAAGACCCTGACCCCTGAGCTGTAGCTGGGACCCCGACCCTGACCCTGGTCCCTGAGCCGTACCCGGGACCGTGACCCCAAACTTGATCCTGACCCCTGAGCCATACCCGGGGCTCCGACCCTGAACCTGACCCCGCCTCCCAGTCCATTGCCCACCTCTGACAATGTGGGGCTAGGAGCGTGCAACCCTGCGTCGCAGCCATGGAGGGGCTGCTGCCTGCGCTGGGTCAGGATCCTGCGCCCTGTCCACACGCAGCACATCCATCCTGACCCGCCGGGCCCCACCCCGCAGGGCCCGGACTCCCACTACGGCACCAAGGGCCTGCGCAAGGTCACCCACGAGTCGCCCACGACTGGGGCCAAGACGTGCTTCACCTTCTGCTACGCGGCCGGGAACAACAATGGCACGTCTGTGGAGGACGGGCAGATCCCCGAGGTCATCTTCTACACCTAGGCTGCCCCGTCCCACGCCACGCCCGCTGCCCCCCCCTGCCTCGGTCCCGGGCGCCAGGAGGGCTCCTCTGTTCCGAGGTGGCGGATGGGCAGGGCAGCGGGAGACAACCCCTCAGGACTTGGGGGGCAGGGCCACCCTGACCCTGCCCTGAGCCGAGGGTCTGCCCACTGCCCCTGCAGCTCGGGGTCGCCTGACC